CACTAAATATGGGCCTGTTAGAAATAAAGATCTCATAACCAACAACGAAGGATACACACCCAGAAACCTAGATATACGACTTACAAACCTCTTGTAACTTTACTGCTCGAAACCTTCAAACAACCCCAAATGCTGACAGGGAACAGAATGCCCAATCGATCATAAATGAGCCGATAAACCAAACCCAAAAATCTCATACATTGTTGAATGAATCCAAGAAGAAAATACACACAATGAATCCCAAAGCTAATCAACATATCAACCACTTCCTGAAATGTCCAAGATAATCAACCCATGTCGCAAGCTAACAATGCTCTCAATACCCGATACCCAACAGGAGAAGGCGCAACCGTTTCTCTGACAAGATTCCAAACACTCCCAAAAGGAACTACTAACCACTAAATTTCCTTTCCCAACAGTTTCCTTATTTAAGGACAACACATGCATCCCTGAAGACATAAACCTGATGACAACTTGCTCTACACTCGCAATCTGACCAATCCTTGAATTTTCCTTAACAATGAAGGAATCCGACAGATTCTTGAGAAATTCAACAAGAGAACTTCCTAACCACAAGCACTTCGTTGGTAGTTTACTTCCTTCTCTTATGCACCAATAACCTGAACCTAAAAATCCGCATACTTGAATCACAAATTCCTCTGACTTGTTGACCCAGGATCATAAGAATTGAAACGACCAATGATCCTCCAACCAAACACCCAGTTCTGGCCCAATTAGGGATTAAAGCACCACCTACTGATGTTTGAAAATGAAAAGGCCTCATGTCGGCGCATCCAGAAACATGCCAACCTTGACTCACGAAGTGCATGATACAACATAAGATGATCCTACGGAAAATAATCAGCCCATCCCAAGCAATTTCTAAATCTCGGATGGAGATCTTGGAATTTCCCACAACATTATAGCCTCGAAATCGACAAATAAAACTAGAATACCACTTCAATGACGAGGCACTCTGAAAGCTGAACCTTGCGTAGTCAAAACTTGCATTTGAAAGAATGACCCATAACCTCACTCTGCTAGAACCACAAGAAACCTTTACAGATGATCTAGCAATAGGTATGACAATCTCAACATAACAATAGACTCCTCTTATATGCAGACGATTTCTGACCGAAAACTAGCCCGTTTTCCTCATCCAGACTTCTAGTCTGTCCTTTGGAATCAATTTCCTCGATCTATAATGGAGACAAACGATCTTACCAAAACTGGATCAAAGGCTCGACACACGATATGATCTCCACTCTGGCCACCAAACCAAAGAATAATCAATCTCGAACATCCTTATACTGAAAGACAGAGATGTTTTGCTACGAATAGACTTTACCCCTTGTGCCAGAACTCGATGTGGAGAATACAAGCCCCTTTTTCTATCTATAGACTAACACACATCCAGCCTCTTTCCCTCAAATACGAGAGGCTGGAAGAACATCACCCCATCATAGGAAACGACATCCCAAGTCGTTGGCCGACTACCCAGCCTCATACTACAATCCTCAAGGCAATCAACACAATTTTTTCCTACTTAAGTCCTGCAACTCAAACTAGAATTACTTCGAATAAGGTCTTTAACACCTTAGGATCAACAAATATGCACAGTTCTGCACCAATTCGGCCCAAACTGCCATGACACTAGGCATGAAAAAACACCATATTTGTCTTCATCCAGGGCAACCATAACCGAAATACTGATGGAGACGGAAATGACTACAACTAACCCTGATTCTATACCACACTATATCCTAGAAACCAGCCCTTTGGTAACCTCTCAACTCTTCTTCATCCATGTACGGATCTTGTGCTTCCAGTAGTATTAGGCCCACACTACCTTCCACGCCTATCTGCACTCATCCCAAGAATTGTTTCAAGGTTTCCAAGTCACTACACATTATCAATAATAACCTTTCTAATTGTAGGTACATTCTGTCACAATCACACACACCACTAAACTTCCTGGAGTCTCCTTCTAATATTCTTCTCACACATATGCATGCACTAGCATATCCTAACAATTTTCCTAGGTCACTAGGAACTCCACCACTGCTAGGTGTACCAGTACACCCATATGCTTGGAAAATCCACCACAAGACTTCCTAGGTTCTCTCCCTAGGATTCCTCTTGTGCAAATGCCCATACTAGCACATTCTAACACTCTTCTTAGGCCACTAGGAATTCTAACCCCAACTGTTATCAGCTGCAGAGGAAACTTCTACCAATGTCAATTAACTATTTTATGAATATAATTACATGCAAAAAAGATTAAACAATCCTTCACCTGAAAGATCCTACACTACAACGGTTGGACTCAAACAAAAGCTTTGCAATAAGGCCAAATCAAGCATTCTAAAACAATTTAATCTCTGTGGCATGCAACCTAACGTATTAGCTAAACAGTTAATTAACATCATTATAGGTTTCACATAACACAAAGCAAACAACATTCAAGTAACAAATCCAACAGGCAACAAGGCATCATGAAGATCAGCTAATTCTAACACGTGATTCCTAAAGATCCTTAACCTACACACTATCATTTATCTCTAACAGTTCACAATCAGACACAAATGGCATCTCTCCTACGAAGGCGCTATAGCATGCAACCCTAAGCAGGTCCTTTTCCTACTTCTAGCATACATTTCATACTATAACATCAATATCATATCAAATATGTACGGATATTTTGGGTATCACTTACTTGAGCTCAGACTAACTGTACAAGTCACATTTCCTTTTTCATTTTTAAGAATTCATCCTTTCAAAAAGGTTTATAAAACTCTCAGATCCTTACTTTGATTCTAGAATCACACTAATGTTCATCCAAATCCCTCAAACTAGGGCTCTGATATCAACATATAATGTCTCACTTTTATAGTAAAAATTTCTTTTTTACATTAGGTAAAAAGATTATTTACATTAAACCAAGTAAAGAAAACTATAAGTATCAAAATATAGCCATCCTAAAAATCAGAGTATCATAATAATGCAGAACCTCAAAAGTTATCGATGAGTGTGTATAGTCAAGCCTTCCCACGATCATCTGAAGTACCTGAAACACATTTAATCTACAATTGTAAGCACAAAGCTTAGTGAGTTCCACAAAATATCACATACAACATAACATAAAAATCAACTATGGGTTATCAGCAACCCTGAGACTATCAGCAGTCATGAGGTCTATCAACAATCTTAAATATCACATACGACACAACAATATAAACAGTTATGGGATTATCAGTAACCCTGAGACTATCAGAAGTCGTATGGGCTCACAGCAGCCTTGTGGGTTATTAGCAACCCTGCAGACTATCAGTACTCCCAGATTTATCAGTAACTCAATAATTACACATAACAAAAATAAGCAAATAAGACGCAGCTAGTCTAGCATGTACACCACTATGACATAGGCAATATAGTGAGAAGACTCGTTTGAACGAAAAACTAAAATCCACTACTCAAATTCCCACAGTGTCAACTATACGAACCTCCTCCAAAAGACCAGAAATATGATGAAGATGCAAGATCTAAGCTGGAACCAAGCACGCAAGCACCAAAATTGACTCCTTTTTCCTTCATCCTTCACAAAAGTGGCTTCACACACTCACAACATACATATGGAGGCTATAGTTTGGAGTGGATTCAATCTCATAGGGTGGAGGCTGTCAAATGAGGCAACCCAAGAAGTTAGTGCCTTTAAATAGGGCACCAATCCCGAAATTTAGGGTTTTGAACCCCACCCGCCGCTATGTCGTGGCCAACACCTTGTCACGTCGTGGTCCATCGAAAATGTGCGTTCCTCAATTTAAGATGCAAAGTGATCCCGATCAAAGTGTTGTGCTTCATATACAGATCCGTACAAGATAGAATATCATTTGTTGTTGTTCTTTGTCAAAGAGGTATCCAGGTTGACACCTCTATCTATGGATCGTGCATTGGTAGACTAGAGTGTGTTGATCACATTCTAGTAGGTTGCCCATATGCAGACTTAATTCGAAAAAAGATATTTGCCTCGTGTAGATTGTAACATGTAACAGTAAATAGTGTTGGAGAACTACTTCAATTTGCAACATCTTGGGGGCAATATCCAACAAAAACGAGAACGACTTTCATTCATATGTTATGGTTTGTTATGGAGTATCCGTAGAATTAGGAATAAAATATTGTTTCAACAGGAAGTCACCTCACCATCTAACGAAGCGAAATGCATGAAGTCTATGATATACTTATGGCTTAAACACAGAGATAAATGTGTAATTTGTAGTTGAAGCAAGTGGTTTTCTTCCTTTTGTTTTTTATTTGTAATTTCTGAAACACTTTTATATCACTAGATGGGGTTTCCGTTTTATATACTCCCTCCGTCCTAAAATTATAGTTCATCTTTCATTTTTGGTTTGTTCAAAATAATAGTCAACTTCTAAAAATAAATAACATTTTTACTAAAATACCTCATCATTATTACTTAACAACTAAGCATTTAATGGAACATTAAATGCAAAGTAAATACAAAACTGTTATTTTATTAAATAAAGTTAATGATAATTAATGATTTTCTTAATATATTTGTTTTTTTATCTGTAAACAATAATATTGAGACGGAGGAAGTATATCATTTGCGTTCCTAAAAGAAAATATAAATAAATAATAACAAATTCAACGTTAAGTGGTTAATATTCGACAACCCTACAGCCTAGGTTAAATTTATTTTAATTATCATTTATGGGCGGTGAACATAAAGAAAAAGCTAGGACACGTGTGGGATCTTTTACAATAATGGTACACCTACTTTTAGCCTACCCAGACTCCAACTTTTCACACTCTCACAGCACAAATCCAGTTATAAATATGATCTTCACATTCTCTTTCAAACGTACTCTCTCGTTTGTTGCTTCATCATCACTGATTCACTGCAAAATTAACATACACAACTGTTTCAGCTTCCTTCAGTCGATCTATATTTCAACTTAAACAAAATGACGAAGGAAATGGCTGGAAAAACCTTCTTTTCGATGAAAAACAATGTCCGAAAGAAACTCGCCATTCTCCTTCACAGCTCAGAACCAAACGTTTTCATCACCACCCACCAACAACCAGAAAATTCCGAAAATAATTTTAATCACCGCAGTAGCAACGCCTCATTACCTAGCCCAGTAATGTCTTCATGTTCATCGCCAGTCTCCTTCATGTCTCCAATCAACCATATACCATCACCCTACTCCGAATCTCCTTGGACTCTTCCTCATGATAGCAATGGAGAAGATGGTATCATCTACAACACTGGCTTGATCGGGTCTTTGATACGTGAAGAAGGTCATATTTATTCGTTAGCATCGTCCGGGGATTTGTTGTACACAGGTTCGGATTCTAAGAATATTAGAGTGTGGAAGAATTTGATGGAGTTTTCAGGTTTCAAATCGAGTAGTGGATTAGTGAAAGCGATCGTTGTTTTTGGTAACCGGATATTTACCGGCCACGAAGACGGGAAGATTCGGGTTTGGAAGTATTCAGATAAGAAGAAAAAAGCTTACAAACGGATAGGTAACCTACCCACGACAAAAGATTACATCAAGAGCTCTGTGAACCCTAATAATTACATTGAAGCAAGACGACATCGTAACCTTCCATGGATCAAGCATTATGATGTTGTTTCTTGCATGTGTTTGGACGAAGAAAAAGGGTTGTTGTATTCTGGATCGTGGGATAGAACAATGAAAGTTTGGAGGATTTCGAATTCGAAATGTTTAGAATCTGTAAATGCTCATGACGACGCCATTAATTCCGTAGTCATTGGGTTTTACGGTTTGGTTTTTACAGGGTCCGCCGACGGAACGGTGAAGGTGTGGCGGAGGGAGTTCGTCGGGAAGACCAAAAAACACCTTTTGGCTTCCACGCTTTTGAATCAAGACAATGCTGTCACGTCTGTGGTGGTGAACGCCTCTCAGGCCACCGTGTACGCGGGATCCTCTGATGGACTGGTGAACTTTTGGGAA